GGCATGAGGTTATTGTTGACCAGAGTTGAGCAGCCATAGGATTAAGAATGTTAACAGTAGGACACATCTTGAAGATTTGGGCAGAGGCTTGAGTGCTTTTTCCCCCCTTTAATTTTTTAAATCTTTCGGGTTTTTACTAAAACGAAAAATGAGAACAGTGGTGGGCGAAGTTTGGTTAGGTTTGTTCATCTGGTTTTTTGGTGTGTGAAGAAGATATCCTTTAATAATGGTTTAATTTATAGTGGTTTGGTTATTTTGCTCTTTGGGTTAAATTGTGGAACATTGCGGAATAGCTATTCATAATGGAAAAAAGGGTTGGGGCGGAATGAGTAAGTGTGGAATGAAGCCAGATAGTTTTGTTTCTTTATTTATACGATTCGTTCACCTTTTGCATTTTGGTCTATCAAAGAGTGACAATTTCATGGCCAATTTCTGCAATTTTGAGCATTCACTCAAAATCACTTCCATATTAAATTCTTAAATCTAAAACAGCTTGGCAAAGGATTACCTGTAAATGAAATGGAGTTCAGAATGGAAGGTGAGATGGATTAATGAGTTAAGGCTTAAATTCCTCCTCTCAAACAAAAGAAAGAAAAAACCCTTTGGGTAAATGAAAATCAAAGTAAATCCCAATTAGCTCATAAATTTAACTTTTCAATCGATACTGAGCCGAATGCAAGCATCTTGAATAACTAATTATAGTAAGAGCATTATTAAAGTTTTATGGCAGGTTGAATATTCATAAATTTGTTATTTATTACTTGCTATCATTTATGAGTGGTGGAACTATCTTTGGACAAAATATTGATTACTTCTCTTTGTAAATGAAAGTCACTAATTAACATCGATTGAATTTCAGTTTGCATAAACTTAGTGCGCCAACAAGGCTAACCATTTTGCTAATTTTGTGCAATACAAACCCATGATCACATTCACATGTCTTAGATGTTTAACTAAGAGGATCATACCAAATGATTCACATTATTAGTTAGCACCTTAATATTGAAGAAAAAAAAATCAAACAAATGAAGAAATTCGTTATTTATTGAAGGCCATAAAGGCGTCAAACCGAGAACTGCATTAAGCAGATCCTCTTACAGTAAGGTTTCTCATCAGTACAAACCTAAACAAAATTATTATAATAATAACAATGAACACTGACGGTGTCCTACTACAATAATATGTATACTAGATAAGAAATCAAAGCCTATTTTTACAATATGTTCATCAATCTTATGACTATTAAACTAAACATTTGCCTTGTAAACTACTTTATTCACGATCGGGCGAGCTTTACACATAGCCTCCAATGGCTGAGCTTTCGGCATGGTGCTTCCC